AATGGCAGGATAGAAAGAAGCTGAATGTATGATGCAACAATGTATTTGACACACTTCCTCTTACCTAATAGCCCCAGTCACCCTCTGAAGCCTTGTTCTCACTTCCCCTATAAAGAACAGAGTTGAATAATTTGCTCAATTTTAGTCATCTACAAAGAAAACTCTCACTGTTCTTAATTCAACAAAATCTTCATTCTAAAAGGCTGTCAGTGAGGGAGAACATGGGCAAGGGAGTTGGTACTTGCCATTCCTGTTCTTGGCCTAGGCTCACCGTGTCTTGGAGGGTCACTGCCACGTGCCCACTCAGCACCTTACCTCTTCGTTTAGTTTCGGAGATATAGAGACCTCAAGGTTGAAAGTTGTACCAAAGCTATGGTAACATTTAGGGCACAAACTTAGGAACAAATCCCATAAATTATTGTGACTTATCTTTGTCAGTGAGACTTCAGGAGATCTCTTTGCTTACCTCTGCACTTTTTTTTTTTTTTAATCCTCACCCAAGAACATGTTCATTGATTTTTAGAGAGAGGGGAAGACAGAGAGAGAACAAAAGAAACATTGAGGTGAGAGAGAAACATCAGTCAGTTGCTTTCCAGATGAGCCCCAACCAGGGCCGGGGACTGAACCTACACCTAGGCCTGTGCCCTGATCAGGAACCCAACCTGCAGCCCTTTGTTGTACAGGACGAAGTTCCAACCTCCTGAGCCACACCAGCCAGGGCTGACCTTTTTCTTTTACAAATTTTTAAAAAAACTTTTTTCAATTACATTTGCCATACAGTGTTATATTTGTTCAAGGTATATAGCATAGTGGTTAGACATTTATATAACATATGCTGTAATTCTCCTGATAAGTCCAGTACTCACCTGGCACCATCAGTTTATTCTGTACATTTATGGGTTTGTTTCTATTTTATAAGTTTAGTTTTAGATTTCACATATAAATGAAATTCTTTGGTCTTTGTCTTCCTCTGTCTGACTGATTTCACATAGTGTAATACCTTTTAAGTTCATCTGTGTTGCTGGTGAGATTTCATAATGGTTATTATCTATAAATCAACAAAGTGTTGGCGAGGACGTGGCGGGAAGGGGGCCCTCGTGCCCTGCTAGAGGCACTGCAGGTTGGTTCTCTCACTGTGGGAGACAGTATGGAGGTTCCGTAAAAAATTAAAAAGTGAGCTAACACATGACCCAGCAATTCCACTTCTGAGTGTTTTTTCGAAGAAATCCAAAACACTATTTCAGAAAGATGTATGCATCCCTATGTTCATTGTGTCATTATTTACAATAGCCAAGATATGGAAGCAACCTAAGTGTCGATTGATAGATGATTGGATAAAGATGATCCATATATACAATGGAATATTACTTGGCCATACAAAGGAATGAAACCTCTGGCCTTCTTCATATGATCAGGAAAGTCTTTAACTCCTATCATTAAGAAGACTTTTAGATGCTAAAATTTCTGACCAAGAGAGTGGACACCCACAGGAGAAATTGGCCATTTCATATTCTTCTTACTGAAGACTTAGTTATATTTAAGATATTGAATGTGCCTAGTATGGGGTCTGCAGCGTGGTAGAAGCTCATGAGTATTAGCTATAATTATTCACCCTGGTTTACATTTTTGACAAGCTCTCCCACAGGTCTGAACCTGAGACACCATGCTTATGCTGTCACCTTGCAGATTCAGTGTGACTGTCACAGCGACGTAAAAGTAGATTCAGTATTCTCATAAGGAATAGGTGTGAACAGTAGCAGTGGCGTTGTTCTATTATGGGCTTGTTGTGAGTTGAGGTTGGTGCTCAGGTATGTCTATCTCTCCTCAACTCTGGGCCTTTCACCAGAAAGGAGGAAGAAAACAAAAAGAGAGACAATGTCTAAATTTGTAGAGCGGTCATGAGAACAGAGCTGTTGAACAATATTCCTGGAGCACAGACCACTTTTTAGGCTGCTAAGAGAATCGGGGGAACAGGTACTGTTAGAAATATTTTAGAATCATGGAAAATCAGAGGAGTTTTAAGTGGCTAGCAAAGGATCTAATTTTCAGAAGAAGACACCTTTGGATCCCTGGATTGTAGGCTGCATTTTATTTCTCCATGAGAGCGTGATGCAGATTTTTAAATGATGGTTTGTGGGCATCTGCAGAGGAAACACACACCCTGACAAATCCCATCTCTCCAAGTTTCACGAAGAACAGGCCAGGCCAGACCAGGGCCTCCCTGAGGTTGGATCACCAGTTGGATGGCTTAGGAAGCCGTGCACCTGACTCTCAGCCAAGAGTCCTACAGCGGATGTTTGTTCGATTGTAGTGCCCTGTTGTGTGTAAGCACTGCGGACGGCTGAGCCAAAGGATGTCAGTGTTGTGATGTCAATACGGCAAGTACTTTTCTCAGATAGATGCACATGATGAATGGTTGGGAATAATTAGATAGGTCGCATTAATAACCATTTTAACAAATATGTATTTGTCATAATGATGTTTACATATTTCTGGATATGGTGAGAAAATCTTGGTAGTTGATGGTCCCAGTCCAGAAGATATGTATATATATTTGACAAAGACGAAAAGTTGAGATCAATTGTAACAATAACAAAGTTTTACACTTTTTTCTATTTATTTGAAAATATCTAGTTGGCCCTGGCTTGTTTGGCTCAGCGGTTAGAGCCTCGGCCTGTGGACTGGAGAGACCCTGGTTTGGTTCCCGCTAAGGGCACGTACCTCAGTTGCAGTTTGTCCCCACCCCGGTTGGGGTCAAGTGGGTGGCAGCCACTCGATGTATTTCTCTCACATAGATGTTTCTCTCTCTCTTCCTCCCTCTTTCCCTCTCGCTCTATCTGAAGATGAAGGTAAAAATGTCCTCAGGTGAGGAATTATATATATAATTATATATATATAGTTGTTTTTATGTGTGCATGAGTATGAATGTGTGTATTAAAGATTTAATACTAATGCATAGATGTTTATGACAAACCATTGAGATTTAAATAAAACCTTCCTAAAATGATTCTCCTTTCTCTCTGAATGACAATGTTGTCACCTATGACTACTGCACAACCACAGTAACCCTGGGAGACAGTGTGGGTAAGCAGGAGAGTGTGTCGGGGTGGCCAGAAGGCCACTGTTACAGCCTCTATGTCCTTCGTTCTAGGGGATCATTTTTTCACCTGGCTCCTGAGCTCCTCAAGGTCGAGGGCTTGTATTGTAACCTTAATATCCGATAAAGTGCCTGGACCCTCACAAGTTCTCAATAAGCACTTTTATAAAATGTATTTTCCTCCCACAAAAAAACTTAATTTGATCTGATAGTGCATTAATTATAGAATAACATCTGTATTAGTTTCTTATTGCTGCTATATCAAATTTACACAGAGATAAGTGGCTCAAAACAACCCAAATTTACATCCTGCAGGTCTAAATGTCAGAAACCCCCCACGTCCAGGTGTTGGTGGGGCTCTGCTCCTTCCTGAAGGCTCTCAGGGAAAATGCTTTCTTTCTTCCAGCTTCTGGAAGCACCCACATTGGCTGTGGGCTCCTTTCTCCATCTTCAAAACAGCAACTCGTTGAGCCTTTTTCTGGTTACATTGCTTTTTCTCACACTCTGCAAAGATTCTCTTTTAGAGAGTCATGTGATTAGACGGCCCACCTGTGTAATCCAGGACAGTCCCGTGGTCATGATCAGAGTGTGGACTCCTCTGGGAGGCCATCACACAGCATCCAAATAAGGAAAGTGGTGGTATTAGGTCTTAGACTATACCAAAATATTGGCAGGCATTGGGGCAGAGCTGTGTGGACCTTCTCGATGCCCTTAAACCCGGCCGGCTGGAGATGGCGTGGCTTGATGACGGGGCAGTCTTTTAAAGGAGATGTGAGCAATAGCTGAGGGGTCAGCTGGGATGAACTCTCAAATTCTGTGGCTTCAGCTTCAGGGCGTGACCTCTGGCCCCGCCCATCGCATTCAGCTGGAGCTGGCCAAGGCCTCCATCCTTACTGAGGAGTCATCTTTCTGTCCGCACCGAATACACATCTAAGGCCCAACAGAGTGGTGACGGAAGCTGGGAGAGTTCAGATGCCTCGTAGAAGATGCTGTGACTCGTTACCATTGAGAATATGGAACCGATAGCCATAGGGACAGTACAAGTTTTAAAATATTATACACGTAGTTAAAATATTCTCTGGCATGTTCAGACGTGAAGAGAAAACAGACCATAGAGACAGGGCATGAAGGAGGTGTGGGTTCATTGCTATCAGGTGGCTTGTATGGGTGCGAAGTGTGAGTGACCTTGAGGAAACGGATACTTAGAACGAAGAAAACAAAAGAAAGAGCAGACCAGATCCTTTCCTCTTCATTCAGAAAACAATATACTTTTGAGAATTTTTTCATCAGTCCACTTTTGGGATGATTATTTGGAATGACTTGTACAAAATCTGGGAGCTGCTCTGGAGAGTGCTGTTTTTATGTCAATACTGTGCGCTGCACAATAATACATTTTAATACTTTAAATAGTTTGTTACCATATTTTTGGATCTTTTAAGTACACATCTGAATGTCTAGGATGTAAACCTGAACTGTATCCAGTTTTATGTTACACCATTTGACCCACAAATTATTTTCTATCCCCAAAATGTCCAAAATGGATTAAATTAATTACAACTTCAATTGAATTCAAGAGAACTCCCTGTGGTTCTTTATAGCTGCGATTTATATATCTTCAGTGTCTTCGGGGTTGCAATGGTCACGCTGGACTGAGGACTTGTTCAGACACTTACAACCGGGCCAGCACCGTTCCATCTTCTTTCTCCTTCTCTGGATTACCCGGCAGCAATAATGATCCGTCCAGCCGGCTCCCGATGCTCCTCTCTACAGTCAGGGAAGGTCAGCTATTTTTTGATCCCCATGGGAGAGAGAAAGCTCCTCAATCAGTTTCCTGAAATAGCTGGCCATTCCCAGCTGCCGGGCTGGAGCCCCTCCAGGGGAGAGCAAAGGGGATACAGGCTACCAGCTGGCTGGGAGTGAGGAGTCTCCAACATGAACTAGGAGAGGCTTCTCAAGACGATCCTGCCGCCTCAAAACTCTCTATTTTCTTCTTGCTGTTGTTGAGAAGCTAGGCCTCTGCCATTGTAAAACTCACTGTTGTGTTTTCAAGGAAAGCAGTGATTGAAGATGAGACTGAACATCGCCATCTTCTTCGGAGCTCTCTTTGGAGCTTTAGGGGTTTTACTCTTTCTGGTGGCTTTTGGATCGGACTATTGGCTTCTTGTCACCGAAGTGGGGAAGTGTTCAGGTGAACAGAATGTGCGTTTCTTTTCCAACTATTCTTGTATTTGGTAGTGGTGAGGATAGCCTTATGGATCCTCTAGAAACCAGAGAATTGTAGCAAGCTACTGATCATTATCGGAATAATACTACTTTAAAAATGTCCTGGATGTGATCATTCAGATGATGTGCCTTGTGTTAACAAGTTACTTCATTGCGTTCTGTGCAGATAGAGAATGTTACTTTTCACCATGAAGGGTTCTTCTGGAGATGCTGGTTTAATGGGATTGCGGACGAAAAGAATTCAAATATCTGGAAGTTCTGGTACGGTAAGTGCACTTGTTTTATGTCCTCCTTTGTCTTTAAAATTAAAATGAGCAGCTTCTTATTTAGTACCTGTCATTAACAAAATAGGATTGGATTCTTAGTTGTAGAATTTCAATAGGGTGTCTTCAAAAGCTCACAAAGTGGTTGCTGTTAGTAAGTAAAAACGGCTCTAGCAATAATTATTTTATTCTAACATAGAAATAGGAGTTTGAATATTTATGGTAAAACTGAGTTATCCACTGTTTTCTTTTTCATATTTAAAATTCATTAACCCTAACAAACAGGTATTATTTACAGTATTTTGTGTGTGTGTGTCCATTGCTATACTACAGATAAATGTTTTTATTTTTTTTAAATCCAGAAATAGAGATGTATTATTTCATATTTATGGATTCAAGTTGAGAAACCTCTTTCCTGTAATGAAACTTAATTACCACCCCTGGCAGATGAAAGCTCTGTCTGGGCTTCAAATGAGTGTGCGGGAAACAGCGAGACGTGCCTTGCTCTGCATGTTTGCGTTCTCTCAGGGAAGCTGGAAGGTTGTTTTTGAAGTTGAACAGCTTCTTAAAAATATGATGCATTCTTTCAACTGTATTTCTTATATTGTATTAATCTTTGAAAATCAATTTATTGAAAATAACTAGCCTTTATCTTTTGCATCCAACAAAGAAAATAACTGTTGATTACCCTAAAGCTTATTGTGGATTGAATTTATTAGTCCCCTTGTGAAATATTCCTGTGATAAATCCAAGTATGATATTTATACAACAGTCAAGATTATGGAATATGTGGTCAAAATATGAGATCACAGAAGACTTAAGCAAGCTGATGTCAAGTTGGCGTATGTAAAAGGAACACAGTAATGATGAAATGGCATTTTGAGAGAGATATTTGGTAGACTACCTTATAGTCATTTTAGAGAGGAAAATAAACATGTGATGTGTCAGAAATTATTTAGACTTTGGCAAAGTGGAGTAAATAAGACCGTGCAAGAGGAAGATTTTTCCAAGGACTCAGAGAAAGGAAGAGTATTTCCCCTTTCCTGAAAGTGCACACAATGATGCCTTCACGTTTTCAAACAACATAAAAGTTCTTACTCGTAGTTTCTTCAAATGCTAAAAATAAATTTGAATTATTAAGTCATGTGATCTATCGTTTCCATCTTTTCCCTAGAGACAAGTTATAGAAGAAATCTTATATTGATTGGAACCTATCAGTGTTAAATCTAAGCTTGTTAGACTTTCAAAACTATGATTGTTTGAATAATTCCTTCGTGGTAGGCTTTATGCTACGTAACTGGAGAGTATGGTTGTGACAACAAATGAAATGCGGTGCCTTCAATTTCAAGGTGACGTAAACAGGCATTCTTTGCACTGAATTATGTCGTAAGCGAGATATTTGAGATGTGTCCACTTTCCAGGTTCCTGGTGCTTCTTCACACGAGATTTTTAGAAAATCTACCCCTTCACTCAGCAATTCTCGGCATCTGTCGATCTGTCGTGCAGACTTACTGAGCCTACGCGTCCCCAGAACCCCTGCTTCTCCTCTGCGAGGACCGGGTCTCCCCTCAGTGCTCAGTGACAAGTGCCATTGTCCTCTCCTCCCAGGCAACCAGCCGGCGTCCAAGAACTGCACCCAGGCTTACCTGTCGCCATACCCCTTCATGAGAGGCGAGCACAACTCCACCTCCTATGACTCTGCAGTGGGTGAGTCCTCTGTCCCCGGGCGTCCCTGGGACAGCGGGTCCTTCTGGAAGCGGCCCACCACCACGTTTTTGTGGGCTATTAAAAAGTAATTCAACATCTGCAATTTTTCTCATGTCAATCTGTTACATACAAAAGAATGGGATATCATTTTTTGACACACTATTTATAATTCTAATAGAAAGTAGATCTAAAAGTTATGTTATTATAAATTACTTGCCACTTATAAAGATAACACTTTCTTTTACCCTCACCTGAGGACATTTTTGCATTTATCTTCAGTAGAGTGGGAGGAAGAGAGGGAGGAAGAGAGAGAGAGAAACATCGATGTGAGAGAGACACATCAAGTGGCTGCCACCAGCACAACCCCAGCCAGGGCCGGGGACAAACTGCAATCGAGGTACGCGCCCTTAATGGGAACTGAACCCGGCTCTCTCTTGTCCACGGGCTGACACTCTAACCACTGAGCCAAACTGGCCAGGGCAAAGATGACATTTTTAAAGTGTGTTTTCTGACATGGAAATAGTGTTGTTTATCAGGAAGAACCGATTCTTAAGGGTTTAACTGAACTGCAGTTAGTCTTACAATAGAAACTATTGTAGTATACACTCTGCTTTTAGAACATTTCCTTTTTACAGTTGTTACACATGAGAATCTGATTTTGTTACTCTATTCCTACAAAACGCATGCACTTGGTTATTTGTGATAAGACACACTAGAGAAGTCGGATGCCACTAACTGGGAGTTATGATTATCTAGCATGCTTTGGTTTTCTTTCTGTGTTTTTCTTGCTATTTATTCTATCAAAAGTACATAAATATAGTTTCTATGGAAAGTACATAATATGTAGTCTGTAAATCTAGTTTTATAGAAAGTACATAAGCTCAATATGTCAACTCTATTCTCAGTTGGTTTCGTGAAGCTTTGAATAAAGGTTGCTTATCCTAACGTTAGAACTAAGGCTTCTCAGGGTATATTCCTAGAAGTGGCGTCACTAGGTCAAATGGCAGCTCATTTTTAATTTTTTGAGGGAACACGATCCAGAGACATGGATCTAGGGAACAGACTGACAAACCTCAGAGGAAGGGGTGGGGGCGGGAGGACATAAACCACAGACGTGTGTGCGTGTATGTGTGCACACCAATGGGCACAGACAGCGGTGTGGTGAGGCGGGCAGGGGTCAATGGGAAAGTAAAGAGGGGCATCTGTGAGACTTTCAACAGTAAAGATAAAGACAGAGACAAAACAACTAAGGGTTGGTAGGTTATTTCGAAGAGAGCATGTGGAGCCAACACTAGGGGCTTGTCACACTGTGACCAAGACTGACGTCCTCCAGGGCTCAGCCGGCACAGGTGCTGCTGCGTTCTCCCGAGGAGAGAGATTCAGCCACTCGGAACCTGACCTGTGATGCTGGATAGTGGAAAATGTCTCGCCAGCTGAAAAACGACGACTAAGCCCTGGCCAGTTTGGCTCAGCGGTTAGAGCGTCGGCCTGCGGTCCGGAGAGACCCAGGTTTGGTTCCCGCTACTTCGGTTGCAGTTTGTCCCCGGCCCTGGTTGGTCGTGCGGGTGGCAGCCACTCGATGTGTCCCTTCACGTCGATGTTTCTCACTCTCCCTTCCTCTCTCTCCCTCCCATTCAATCTGTACAAAAAATGGAAAAATATCCTCGGGTGAGGATAAAAAAAAAAACAAAAAACGACGACTAAGAGTTGGTACAGAATTTGCTATCATAAACAGCCAAAAATGCTTGTTTTTCAAAGAGAGCACATAATATACTTAATATTCTGAATAAACGTATATTAGTCAGGATTGCCCAGAGGATCCCGAGGAAAGATACAAGAGAGACATGGAGGACAAGACTTTAAGGAACTGGCTTATGTGACTGTGGAGGGCGCAAGTCCGAAAATCTGTGGGCCCAGCCCGTGGGCTTGGGGATCCGGATGAGTTGGTGTTGCGGTCTTGAGTCTGTAGGCTGGAAACTGGTAAAATTTCTGTTTTTCAGTCTTGAAGAGATTGATTCTTCAGAAAACCTCGGTCTTCGTTCTTAAAGCCTTCAGCTTTATGATGGGGTGAGGCCCGGCCTCACTTGGAGGGCACTCTGTGTCCTTGCAGTGTACTGATTATAAACCGTGACCACCGGTCTGGTACCTTTACAGCAACATCTAAATGGGCATTTGACCGAACAACTGGGCATCGTAGTCTAACCAAGTTGATACAAAATTAACCATCACAGAACTTCCATTATTCACCTATTTTTTCATCTTTCTATAAAAGTGTGTATTTCCATACCTTATCATTTTGTTTTAAGTTTGTCAAAGGCTGTAGCCTTTGCTTTCATTGCATTTCTGACATGTCATGTTGTGGCGTGGAGTGGGGAGAGGTGAGCTGGTTGGCAGCCGCGCTTGCGCACTGCGGTTGCTTGTCGCCACACAGTGGAAAGGGTGTGGCTTTGGTCTAGCAAACGTGTATGGTGGTATGGATGCTTTTTCCCTTAAGGACTTCGTGAAGTGCCCTGGCCGGTGTGGCTCCGTTGGCTGGGTGTGCACCAAGAAGCTGCAGGTTAGATTCCTGGGCAGGGCACATGCCGGCAGCGGACTGGACCCCTAGTCGGGGGCTTGCAGCAGGCAGCTGATCGATGTTTCCCTGTGACATTGATGTCTCTTTCTCTTTCTCTTCCTTCCCCACTCTCTAAAAATCAAAAGGAAAAAATCTGCACGAGGAATGTCATTCACACTTGTCAGAACCTCGTGCACCGCGTGTGATGTGAACCCTCTCGCTGGAAGGGAGGAGCAGGCTGCACCGTTTCCGGTGACACACAGTTACAGAAAAGGCTTTCCCGCCAGTCCCCTTTCCAAAATGAACCGAGAAGCAGGTTAGGGTTGGCTTTCCAGGACACTGTCTCTTTGCATAAATATTAGTATTGTTGATATTCATACGATGAGGTCCCGAGATGAGATAGGTATCGTAGGCATCATGTGTTTGAATGTAAATCTGCATATTTGAAAGTCTGCACCTCCAGGAGATAGTGGAGAACTGGAAAAACAAGGTAACATAATCTATGCATAACAGTTATGATGGACACGGATAGTAAATGCATGTCAAAATAATTATACTGCAATTACAATTAGAACTATTATGTAGCACTGCATATAATTACTGTGTCATTTTTTTGGATCAAATGACAAAACCACATCCCAATATTTTTAAAATGATCAAATTCCTCTTTGGTTCATTCATTTTAAGCAACTTTATAAAGTACTTTAAGTAAAAATGACCAAGATGGGAAGAGCTGTGTCCTACAACAGAGACAGTATATATACATTTCATTTATCTTTATTATATTATCAATGATATCTGATATTACATTTGGGTGACTTTTTATTATTTTCTTTATCTAAGACAAGAGCACAGATTTTGTCAGAAGGTTTCTACCTGACCGGAAGTGTGTGTTTCCCAGGCAATGAGTCTTCGCTACACTCCAGAGCTACCCAGTTCTTTCATGTAGCTTCATAACTGTCAGCCCTATACACTTGCCAGTTTATCTTGGATCAAGTCAAAGTATTGTTTGTAAAATCTGATGTATCCCTGTATGGCAAATTATTGGTAAAATGGCTTTGTATTCTCCTGAAGTTTTACAGTCACAGTTAACCAATATTGAAATCAGTGCACATAATATATTGATGCATGATTTTTCTATAAGGACTGCTTTAGAATCATTGATGCTGCTGATGAAATTATTTTATTTCATAATATGGAGACTAAGACTGAGACTCAGAGAAACCACGTGACCTGTCTTGGCACAGCTGGTCATTGCCAGAACTAAAGCGAAGGTTCGAGTCCCTGGTTTTGTTTATGGATAATCTTTTAAACTGCGGTGAATGAAAGGGCTAATTTTAGTGCTTAAAATTTAAATTTTTAAGCATGTCTTTTAATTGAATCTCAGTGAAAGAATACATTAAACTCATGTTGGTTTTTTTCTACCTTTCTTTCTGATTCCTATCTGTATAGACAGTCAGGTCTAATTCAGTGTTTTCTTTTCTTTTTTTTTTTTTACTTTTAAAATCTTTTTTTTTATTATTTATTAATTAATTTTTGTTACAGATGTTTATCCTTTTCCCCCCACTGATTCCCCCTTCCCCCTCCCTCCCTGCCCTTTCCCCAGATTGTTGTCCATGTCCACTGTTCATGCATACATGCATATAAGTTCTCCCCCACCACCCCCCTGTTTTGGGGATTGTCAGTCTATACCCTGCTTCCGCGTCTCTGGGACTACCCCTTTCCTCAGATTGTTATGTTCATTATATTCCACAAATAAGTGAGATTATATGAAACTTGTCTTTCTCTGTTTGGCTTGTTTCACTTAGGATGATACTTTCCAGGTCCCTCCATGTAGTCTCAAAGGATAAGAGATCTTTCTTTCTTACAGCTGCGTAGTACTCCATTGTGTATATGTACCACAGCTTTTTGATCCATTCGTCTACTGGTGGACACTTGGGCTGTTTCCAGATCTTAGTGACTGTAAATAGTGCTGCTACAAACATGGGGGTACATATATTCTTTCTGATTGGTGTTTTATGGTTCTTAGGGTATATTCCTAGAACTGGGTTAATTTCCAATACATATAGAGTGCTCATACAACTTCACAAAAGGAACACAAAGAATCCAATTAAAAAATGGGCAGAGGAACTAAATAGACACCTCTCCAAACAGGACATACAAATGGCTAAGAAACATATGAAGAAATGCTCATCATTAATCACCAGAGAGATGCAAATTAAAACAACAATGAGGTATCACCTCACACCTGTCAGAATGGCCGCCATCAACAAATCATCAAACAATAATTCAGTGTTTTCTTCATTTTGTATTCAAATATGTTATCTAAACTTCAGTTATGCTCAAATCTATTGATTTGAATGGTTGCCCAAGCCTAGAGGGTTGCTCTAATTCTAAGTGTTGGTTTTGAGGTAGGGTTGTGTACTTTGAAGGCCATTCAGCAATT